TCCTATTACAATATTTTATTATTGTATTAGTTAAAATATTTATTATGTATTCATAATATGTATTAGTTAAAATATTGTATGTAATATTGTATCCTCTAGTTGGTTATTGTATCCTAAAAACTAGGATACAATATTACCATAAAAATGTTCTTCTTTTAAATAAAACAACTTTCAACTTCATAGCGTTCATAGCTTTTTATTTATTAACAAATTAAAAGGGTCAGTTAATTCTGGTTCACCCTGTACATATAACGGCGTATCATTGCTACGTGCAGGAGATGTGGCAGTATTTGGACATTATAACCCATTAAATTTTCTGACAGCGGGTCACCGTATAAGGGGGAGGGGGCAGTCTTAATTTCTGGGTTTAATTACTTAAACCCCTAATTAGTTAGGGGTTTCGAATTAGCACGACCCCCGACCCCCGTAGTAACTGTTTGGTGACGTCACACTCGTTACGTCACGCAGCCGTTACAAGCTGTTGGGGTTAACAATGTAAACGGCCTGCTGCCGGTGCCGGTTTGATGCCTTAGTACAGCCGTAATTAAGCCGTAGTGCAGCCGTAATTAAGCCGTAGTGCAGCCGTAATCAAGCCACACTTGCAACCGTAATTAAGCCGCACGTGCAGCCGTAATACAGCCATAGTACAGCCGTAATTAAGCCGTAGTGCAGCCGTCATTAAGCCGTAGTGCAGCCGTAATCAAGCCACACTTGCAACCGTAATAAAGTCGCACGTGCAGCCGTAATACAGCCGTAGTGCAGCCGTAATTAAGCCGCTCGTGCAGCCGTAATTAAGCCGCACGTGCCGCCGTAATTAAGCCGCTCGTGCCGCCGTAATTAAGCCGCACGTGCCGCCGTAATTAAGCCGCTCGTGCCGCCGTAATTAAGCTACACGTGCCGCCGTAATTAAGCCGCTCGTGCCGCCGTAATTAAGCCGCACGTGCCGCCGTAATTAAGCCGCTCGTGCCGCCGTAATTAAGCCGTAGGGCGCAGCTGCTGGCCTTGAGACGCGCCGTAACATCACGCGCGCTGTGGTCGTGACGGGCGGCGCAGCGGGGCGTTGCGCCGAACAATGAATAAAAGATTGATGAAGATAATCTTGAAATGATAGAGAGAAGCAGGTAATGAAACGGAAAATCGTAGAAATGATTGAAAAAATCTGAAAATGATTGAAAAAAATTGAAAATGATTGAAAAAAAATCTGAAAATGATTAAAAAAATCTAGAAATGATTGAAAAAATCTGAAAATGATTGAAAAAGTCTAAAAATGATGAAAAAAATCTGGAAATAATAGAGCAAATTTTTAGTTAATACAGTGAATCGGGAAACGATGACGTAATTCTGAAAATTGCCATTAGAATCAGAAAATAGTTTCAGAATATCGTGAAAACGAT